CAATCTGGAGGCCATGGGTCCAATTGATGTTGCATTTATTAGAGGCTGGACAGACAGGCTACTCCAAAAATTCCAAGCCACATTTGTTGGACTGGAAAGCGAGAACTGAGTCTGTATGAATTCACCTATCAGACTCTCGACAAAGAACATATCCGACCAGACAAGAAGAATGCCGAGGAAAAGAAGAGCAGGCTATCTATTGGGGAGAGGAGTCAGAGAGGGAGTTTCTATGGAAGTTGGGCTGGAGGGGCCACAGGCCTGGGGCATTGGCTTCACAGGAAAGGAAGAAGGACCGGCAAAAGGATGGGCAGGCGAAGTATTCAATGCGTTGGCAGCAACAGGCCCGATGCCGGTAGTATTGGTGCAAGCGCCTACACATTCTAGACCAAACAACCCCGAGTCAGAGGCCGCCTCGAGTTCAGGCTTTACAGAAATAAGTTGTCTGTTTGTGGCAGTCAATTGGCCGGAGATGGAGTTTACGGTTTTCGTTTGTGGCATCGAGAAGTGTAGAGCAGATTGGGCTTGTGGCAAAGGGAATTGTGAGTGCGAAGAGAAGCCTGAGGATGGACTAACTCCCAGTTCAACTGGGCTTGAAAGAGAGGTGGAAGAGGCGTGATGAATAGGAAGAGAGGAGGAAGAGGAGGGAATAAGATATGTAGATACTGGAGAAAATTGGTTTAGAGAAGCTTCTAAAGGCAAACTGGCGCTCGATGACAAATTGGAGCTGGATCGTTCTATGGGAAAATGACCTTCAATTGGTTCTAGTTTAAGACCTGCCGGGTCGAGAAGCAGATCGTGGGGATCCCAAGATGCACCCAGAGAGAGGCAAGCGTTAGATGACCCAGTGGCGGAAGGAGGTACAGGTGTTTGTTTAAGGGGCGCTGTTGCGACCACAGGCTGGAGGGGTGGTGGCAGGCGGGACAGCGGCATGGTGGACAGGAAGCAGGAGGAATGTCCAGGAGGCAGAGCAAAAAGGAGAGTATTGGCGGGATCGAGGAGGCCAACGCCGGGCTCTTGCTTCATCACAACCAGCTGACGGCAGGACTCAGAGCCAGAAATGACCGAATCGCTGGTGGCAAGAGTGGAGTCCGAGAGACAGCTCTTTTGGACAGTATTAGCAGCACGGCCTGTAGAGGTGGGAAAAAAATATAGTTTAAAGTTCACAAGGTCAGAAAATTGGTTGAGATATCCTAAATCGCAAAGCATCTTTTGTCGAGAAGGAAGTATAGTTATCGGTGTTGATCAACAGAGTAACCAATATACGAATGTATTCTTGAAGATATTATTAAAAGAAGCCGGCAACACCTGCATGATAGGTAGAATCCGCTCGCCAACACCAAAGTACATCAAAGAAAGGTCTAGGTAGTGAATAGACCCTGACCGATATTAAATCATATGAACATGATTCTTAAAAAATAACTTGAGTCGCCCTAGTTTGGTCAAAGCAATTTAAAAATTAGTTGAATTTTATAACAGTAAAATGATTAAGTTTTATGATACCATCGAATTTCTTTTAGCCCTGGCCTACAAAAGGTTTTTTTATCCTACCTGCGCCATATCATAATTGTAATATTTTCTCACAATGAAAGCAGCAGGTCGGATAAATAATTATCTCAAAATAAAGCTGTTGTCGGATGCAATGGCAAATATAAGTATTTCCGTCCCAACCATAAATATGATTTAGGAGAAGCCTGGCTTTGCTTGAAAGTGATGAGTCATTAACTAATGACTGCGTGGTGATGATGATAACTTTGCTACTTGAAGAGCATGAGCCAGGCTCGGAGCTAACTTGGGTAAAACGTCACTATAACTTCTTAAATGACCCAAAGCGACTAAGACTGAATCAAATTTTTATCTTGAAATTGGGTTTATTCCTTTGAGGTTCAACGTTTCAAGTAACCTCCAACCGAGAAAGGATTGCATAAAAGTCTTAATTATGCCAATGAGTCTCATTCGCAATGCGAATAATTAAAAGCTGGTCTAAACCATGATTTGGATAATGATAATGTTAAATAGAGCCTCAAATTGAAGGTTCAAAATGAGATACTTACACACGAGGCCCCAATAAGCCAAGTTTGTGAGAAGAAAGTTGCTTAGAATTCGGATTTGTATAATATGCAGAGGCCGATTGAGAAAACAAATAAACACCAGTTAAAATCGCTTTAACACGCATGCACCCAAAAATGGTTTCGCGTTATAACAACCTGCTATAG